TTTTCTTTCTGTTGACATGATATTTTTAAACTAAACTATCTGCATGGGATTTGTTTATATACAATAAACATAAAAAATTACATTAAAGTTTATTAAAAGAATACACCATACGTAACTATCTAAGCATCAGTTGAACAAATACACCATACGTAACTATCTAGGCATCAATTGAAGTTACAGTTTCGACATTGTAGATCTTGCATCATATAACGTTGCTTTACGCAAAAGTATAAGGCAACTTTTTTGTTTGTTTTTGTAAAAAAAAATAAATTACCCCCCAAAAAAAAATAAAATAAATACACACACTCAGAGCAAAACAGAAAATTTATTTTATTTCCTCAAAACAAACTATTTTCCGCAAAAAAAAAAAAAAACTCATATCTAAGAGCCCTTATTCATTGATAGATTGTGTAGAGTTTATGGATTTTAGAAATCTAAGAAATTTTAGAAATTCTTATGGATTGTTATTCGTTCTTACAAAATATTTTTATAGATTGTTATGGATTGTCATGGATTTGATATGGATTTGTATTAATTTTTTTCTATATAAGGTAATATGTATTTTTATATAAATTATTCAAAGAATATGTCTTCTAATATTATAAAATTCATTTTAGGCATGTTTTAGCTCTTTTTTTTTTTAAGAATAATGAGTTCTTAGTTAAATAGAGGAATTTGATAGCATCGAGCAAAGAAAAACTGAGAAAAAAAAATAAGTAACCAATGAAGATGAATATTAATGAGATTTTAGCGCTCTTTTTTTTTTTTAAGAATAATGAGTTATTGGTTAAATGGAAGAAACATGATAGCATCTAGTTTTGCATGTTTTAAATATTTTTTCAATGAAATTTGCATTTTTTATTTGATGATTTGTTTATGTCTCTAGCTCTTGCAAAATCTGGATTTTACTATGGTGTTGTTTAATGACAAGCACAAAGTCTNCCTGCAAGTATTTTGATTTCATCTGTCTTTTCAATGAGCTATGAGTTGGTTAGAAAATTAGGTCATATAGACATTGAAATTTTACTCA